CCACCTGTGCAATCCAGATGCCCCCTTGAATTCCACTTTTTGCAAGCCCTGAAGACATCCAAATTCATTGCTGCCTCAAGTCACACTGCCGAAATTGTAATAATAAGACTGTATTTTCCCTCTCTTTGTCCTTCCTATTTCTTCCTTTGATGGAAGAACTTTTTTTTGCAATCATACAAATATTGACATTTCTGATCAGCAAATACAATTTCTTTAGAGAGACTTTTTCAGACAGAAGAGGCATTTAAACAAAGGCCCGAATTCAATTCTTCCAAAGTGGCCTAGTGACAATCCTTATGCTAGTAACTCTCTGCATGTCTCCTTTCATATCTGGCTTAGAAATTGCAAAATGTCAGCTACCTGATGCAGAACACAATCTGGATTCCCATGGAATTCAAATTGCATTCATAAGCATCCGGTTGCTGGCCTGTAATGAACAATAGCAACAACACAAACAACCCTCAGAAAGGGAAAAAATTAGCCATTTTGAACAAATTTGAGTTCATATCTTTCATGACCTGATGATCCTGTATATCAAGGGTTTGGGCAGGGGGAAGCAAAAGCTTGACCCCATCCATACGGCACAATTGTAACATTATATTCCACTTTAACTGTAATGGCAACATCCTATGTAATCCAGGTTTGAGGGGGCACAAGAGCTCTCCAGCACAGAATTCTAAATATTCCTTCTACGGCTGAGAATCCTAATATTTCAGGATAAGTTGCCATGGCAGTTAAACTGGAACACGGTGCTATGAATGGCCCTGAAACTAGTTTCTGAATTATTGAAGATTTTATGTGTGTGGTGGTAGTTGTGGGCAACATTTGAGTTTTGCATCAGGTAAGAAGATGCCTTGGGCTGGTACTGATCTTAACTGCTTACTTTCTCTTTGTGTAACATTTGCAGCCATGGAAACCCACTAGGTGACCTTAAGCAACCCACTCTCTCTCAGCCTCAAAGGTAGACTCAAACGCCCACTGAACAAATCTTCCCCAAAAGACCATCATCTAGGATCATTGTAAGTCGAAAATGACTTGATGGTACACAAGTACACAACCTTTGTTGGGGTGACACATATTTTAAAGTTAAAAAAACAACAACCTTGAAGCAAACTAAATCAAACAGAAGATGTCACGTGGACCTAGAAGGTAAGGTTAAATGCAGAGCTGGGAATAAACACTCTTTGCATAATGATCCCCAAGACTAAACCAGGGGAATTAGGGAGTTCAAAAAGCTAACTTTCTCAAGTTCTGTTGATAACACCAACATCTATTAGTATCTCCTCATCCTGTGGATGGAGCCCCCAGTGGCGCAGTGGGTTAAAGCACTGTGGCGGCAGGACTGAAGATCGACAGGTCGCAGGTTCGAATCCGGCGAGAGGCAGATGAGCTTCCCTCTATTAGCTCCAGCTCCTCATGCGGGGACATGAGAGAAGCCTCCCACAAGGATGATAAAACATCAAAAATCAAAAATCCTTGCAGACGGCCAATTCTCTCACAACAGGAGCGGTTGCTCCTGACACGACAAAAAAAAAAATCCTGTGGATTTGTGTGTGTGTGTGTGTGTGTGCGTGTGTGTCAGGAGCGACTTTGAGAAACTGCAAATCGCTTCTGCTGTGAGATAATGGACATTGCAGAGAAGATGTCCGGATGTTTTGATGTTTTACCATCCTTATGGGAGGCTTCTCTCATGTCCCCACGTGGGGAGCTGGAGCTGACAGAGGGAGCTCATCCATCCTGGATTCGAACCTCTGACTTCAGTCCTGACAGCATTAGGGTTTAACCCATTGAGCCACCAAGGGCAGTATGAAGCAGGGAGAGAAGAACCATACATATCACTGTGGGCTCATCAGTAAGAAAGGTAAAAGGTAAAGTTTTTTCCCCTGACATTAAAACCAGTCGTGTCTGACTCTGGGGGTTATTGCTCATCTCCGTTTCTAAGCCAAAGAGCTGCCGTTGTCCGTAGACACCTCCAAGGTCATGTGGCTGCCATGTCTGCATGGAGTGCCGTTACCTTCCTGCAGGAGTGGTACCTATTGATCTATTCACATTTGCATGTTTTCAAACTGCTAGGTTGGCAGAAGCTGGGGCTAACAGCAGGAACTCATGCTGCTCCCCGGATTCGAACCTGCAACCTTTCCGTCTGCAAGTTCAGCACCTCAGCGCTTTAATCCACTGCACCACCGGGGGCTCCTAGCAAGAAAGTAGGAATATAATAAATAACTGGATAATGTGGAACCTGGTTTCTGATTTTTATGTGTTTTTGACATTTTCGTTTTACTTCCAAGGACCATTTGAATCACATTTGTTTCTTTGGCCGCATGCTTGTATAGTACTACACAATATCCCAGAGTACTTGTAAGATATCAGTACAAACACAAAACAATCTATGCGTAATGTCAAAGTGTATTATCAAGAAAACATATAATATTCTATTTACCAAAATCCCCAGTACAAAGCTCAATTCAGTGGTACACAGAAATCAAAAGGAGCAACCGCTCTCAAACGTAACAGTTCTGGGTCTGGATAGGGATTCCACTGTATATAGGCTTCAGGGATACATTCAAGGAGAAAAGTCATATAAACAAAGTAAGTATAGAGTCATGAGGCTATATGTAAGTTGAAGACAATAATGAAGATGAAGCGTCACTCTCAAAACAATCTTCATGGAAAAGATCCAACTCAAGTCCAGTGAAAAATGGAGCACTGCTTCTCAAAATAAGTCTTCAAAGAAAAGTCCCAATGGCATTCTACAGGGGTGCCCGGGTATTTTTGTACCCTGTTTCGGGGAAAGCAATCCCCTTCCTCAGGAGTTGATAAATTCAGCAACTCTAGACTCTTATCTATAACAAAACATAACATCACATAGAGTAACAAGTATTTTCCAGCACAATTACAGTAGTGAAGATAATGGATACATTACTCGCAGTGTGAATTTACTTCTAGCAGAGTCACTTTTTGTATTAGCTACTTGGCATGATGTGAGTATATGTTATATGTTTGATGTATCCATTATCTTCACTACTGTAATTGTGCTGGAAAATACTTGTTACTCTATGTGATGTTATGTTTTGTTATAGATAAGAGTCTAGAGTTGCTGAATTTATCAACTCCTGAGGAAGGGGATTGCTTTCCCCGAAACAGGGTACAAAAATACCTGGGCACCCCTGTTGAATGCCATTGGGACTTTTCTTTGAAGACTTATTTTGAGAAGCAGTGCTCCATTTTTCACTGGACTTGAGTTGGATCTTTTCCATGAAGATTGTTTTGAGAGTGACGCTTCATCTTCATTATTGTCTTCAGCTTGCATATAGCCTCATGACTCTATACTTACTTTGTTTATATGACTTTTTGCATTGAATGTATCCCTGAAGCCTATACACAGTGGAATCCCTATCCAAACCCAGAACGGTTACGTTTGAGAGCGGTTGCTCCTTTTGATTTCTGTGTACCACCGCATGCTTGTATAGCCCATACTGTGTCATAGTATATCTGACCTCATTATCTGCTTCCTGTAGAGATCTCATTTTGACTTAAAAGCCCCCAAGTTGGGAAAATGATTGGAAATGGAGGAAGTGTTGATAGGATGGTAAGAAATTATTCTCACAGAAGCGTGGGTGCCAAGAAGCAAAGAGAAGAGATAAATTGCTGTCTGCATGGCTCCAGAATAACTCATGGCTAGGTCTTCTCACAGAGTCAACACTCCATTTCTTTAATGTCCCATCTTTGTTTGCTGCAGTAGTCGTCTATACTAATATGTCGTCATTAGTTGAAAGAAGAAACAAGTTTCATCCAGCTACTAAGAAACCTATGTGAATTATAGTATGTGGTGCTACAGAAAATGCATAGAAAGTTAACTTCAAGACCAATAGTTCACAACCAGCAGAGCATTAGATGTTAAACTTCAGCTCTCAAAAGTTGTTGGCACCATGGCCAAGAGTTGGGTATTCTGGAAGCCCTAAAGCACAAACGCTTACTCCAGCTGGGAACAACTGCTGTAAATCTTTTCATCAAGAGGTTCAAGCAAAGAGAAATGCAGGGGAGGAGGGGGTTTCTACATTGTAGAATTGATGCAGTCTAACTGCTATGGCTCAATGCTATGAAGTCATGGGAGCTGTAGTTTGATGAGGCACTAGCACTTTTTAAGAGAGGAGGCTAAAGACCTTGTAAAACTCCAACTCCCAGTATTCTATAGAATTGAGCCATGGTAGTTAAAGTAGTGTCAAACTGCATTAATTCTACAGTGTAGATACACTCTGGGGCAAAATGCAAGATGACACTGCCCTGAGTTTCCAGACAGAAAGATATATCACTAACAATGGCCATAATATTCTTCATTATTTAGGCTTGTGTAATAAGTCCTATGAGGAGCGTCTTAAAGAGCTGGGCATGTTTAGGCTGCAGAGGAGAAGGCTGAGAGGAGACATGATAGCCATGTATAAATATGTGAGGAGAGGTCATAGGAAGACTTTTAAGCAGAGGCTGAATGGCCATCTGTTGGGGGTGCTTTGAATGCGATTTTCATGTTTCTTGGCAGGGGGCTGGATTGGATGGCCCACGTGGTCTCTTCCAACTCTATGATTCTATAAGCAGAAATCCTTTTTTATTGTTGCATAAGGAGGCATCAAATACTTCTTTTCACAATGATGACTTCCTAGTGATAGCTTGCATCAGGATGGTTGTCACATACAATTCTGCCCTCTCAGCCAAAATGGCTAATGGCGAACCATGTAGGCACTGCAAAATATCCTTCTAGGCCTATTGCCCTCGCAGCAAACCTTGGCCATCCTATACCTAAATACTCTATCAGCATCAAAATGTATTTTGGCTAATAAGATCAGTAGTCCAGTCTTTTCACGATATGTCACTCTCTAAAGGTGCAGAACTGCAATATCTGATCAATCATACTTCCAATTTAAAATGGTAGAACCAATTTTCAACACGTTTGCGTTGGCATTGCATCCAAACTGTTATTAATTAAAATGTCCATAAAGGCTGAATATTCTCCTTATTTTGTTGCCTATTTTTAATTATAACTTTGACAAACAAATAATCATTAAATAATTTCAATTTATTACTGAACATAGTGTTCTTCAAAGAAAATAAAGGACAAAACCATTATGTTGTGTTATTGGAACCTGAATCAAAAACGTGGGGAGATACTACTCTTTAAACTTCTCTCATGGACAAGGTTGAGATCAGGTTGGATTTCAAGATGAAATTAACATTGCATTTCCTCTGAGAAGTCAGCTGCTTGAGTTTGCAGGATGCTAAAATACATTGACATATCTCCCAATATAATTCAGATGCATTGGTGGCAATCATAACCAACAACTTCTGGATGTGTTCAATAAAAGCATTCATGATTTTCAGGGCAGTCTTCCAAACGTTTTTGAGAAAAGAAATATTGAATGTTGCATAATGGTCATTTGGGAACAATACTCAAATGCTGATAACTTATAAGTAAAGGTAAAGGGTTTCCCTGACATTAAGTCTAGTCATATCCAACTTTGGGGGGTGGTGTTCATCTCCATTTCTAAGCTGAAGAGATGGCGTTGTCCATAGACACCTCCAAAGTCACGTGGCCAGCATGACTGCATGGAGCACAGTTACCTTCCCACCAAGTTGGTACTTATTGATCTACTCACATTTGCATGATTTGAACTGCTAGGTTGGCAGAAGCTGGGGCTAACAGTGGGAGCTCACTCTGCTCCCCGGATTCAAACCAAGTTCAGCAACTCAGTGGTTTAACCTGCTGCGCCACCAGGGGCCCCTGATAACCTCTAGCAAAACTATAACAACCTCAAAGTGGTGCAGAGGTAACCATGTATTACTACTCAGTAAAAAAGGAACACACAAATGCTATGACCAGCACACTAATGCTGCTACTAACTTCACTACTGTGAATGTCCATAACAATTATTTCCAGTAGCACTTGAACTGTGGTTTGTCAGGAGGCATTTTAGTTCCCTTTCAGGAAATAGAAAACCATAACCCGTGTTGTTTTGGTTTTAAAAAACAAATTAGAAAAGAAGAAATACCATCAATGGTATTTATTAGGCGGCATTCACTATTGTGCAAAAGTTAGTCCCACTGATTTCAGTCAAAACTAAATGTTTTGTAATCAGGCATAAAACTAGTCCGGAAGGAATGCCTTAGTCCTCTTCTGAGTCACTTTCTTCTCTCCTTGTTGGAACAGAGCACTTGATTGAAGTCATCAGCTGGTCCTGGATCTGCTTCCTGGGGTTCTCTTCTAGATCCGTCTTGATGGCACCTGACTCGGAAATCTTCCATTCCAGTTCTAAACTCAAGCAGAGAAAACAACACGTCAACTTGCAAACATGGAAACTCTCACAGCGTTCCTAACTGTGTGGACATACATGCCTATGTGCTGTTTTTTCACTCCTTCAAGCCATTTTGTGAAATGTTAAATAGTTAAGGTGGGAAACGTCATGATCCAGGGCCAAATCCAGCTGGACTTCTATCCGAACCTGGCCCTATGAACTTCTTGATATGGCTAAACACCACTTTTCCCCCTGATTCCCCCAGATATTGTTGAACCAGTAAGACCATCAGTCCTACTGAATATGAACACTGTTCAGGACTGATGTTATATTTCAGCATCAGCAGCAGGTGACCAGCTTCCAATTTGATGCAAAGAAACATTTTAAAAAAGCTGCACATTGTCCTTATGAATACATGTTTAGCCCAACCTAAATACAGTCAGCCCTCTACATTTGCGGATTTGACTTTTGTGGATCTGATTTTTCATGGACTTGATTAAAATGTTCCTTTTTTAGGAATCTCTAGGGCCACCAGTGCAATTTTATGATCAGCTTTTGGCAGACGTTGACCACAAACTGTTTCTGGAGGACCTAGAAATTCCTAGACCCCAAGTTCGCTCTCTGGTCTCTCCAGCTAAGAAGCAAAAACCTACCCTCTCTTGTCAGGTTCATGCCTCCAAACACCAATGGTCCAATAAACTGGGCCTTGATGTCCCCTTCTAGATAGATGAAGATTGTGGGGAGGTTTCTATCAGGATAGTTGGGGATGCAAGTTGTAGAAATGGCTTTGACAAACTTGACCTCTGGAAACTTCTTGGCAAGTCCATTTAAGTGTTGGTTGATCAAGGCACAAAGAGGGATACTAAATAGAAAAGAAAAATAAAAGACATCAATTGAAAGCCATGCTTTTTCATGAAAGATATGTAATATCTGTAAGGCGCTCTGAGTACCCTCCAGAGTGAAACAGTAAAATTACAATAAATAAATCACAGTACAAATTCCTTACTGAGTTTGTTTATTTTTTGCTTCCTTTTGATTGCTGTTTCTTTAACATGGCATTGAATGTTTGCCATTTCTGTTATATTTTGGAAACCACCCCGGGTCCCTCTGGGGACAGAGGGTGGGTTATAAATAATGATGATGATGGTTATTATTATTATTATTTGCAGAACAGGCACCCATAGTTTCATTTATCCATATCCCACAAAATGGCGCCTCTCCAGGCATTTTCTAGGTCCTCCAGCTCTATTCTTGGGCCAGAAGTCCTTTTTCCCCAATAAGTTTCTGTATTATCTGTGGTTTCATTTATACCCACAAAAAGTCCTGGCATGTATCCCTGTTGATATAGATATTGTACTGGAATTTCTACAATGTGCAGTATGTTCTCACAAATATACACTATGACCTCTAAACATGAATTAATACTTCTTCCTAATGACTGAGGCCTGTTAAAGGTCTGTCTCACCAGTGGGAGAAATATATTGTGTGAAGACATAAAATAAGGCATTATTCCCTTGTGTGTGTGGAATGCCCTTCCTTTCAAGGTTCAACAGATGTCCGCACTGCCTACTGCTAAGTTAAAGAACATATTTTTTTATCATTTCGTAAAATTCCTTTCCTTTGCTTGGCTTCATGGTTCTCAGAAAGCAAATGACATGCCCATGCGGAAGTATAGTATCTGCAGTACATGCATTTGGATGTTTTGGACTCTTTCCCAGCCAGCATGTCTTACAAATGATTATGGGACTTGTAGTCCAAAATATCTGGAAAGGCAATTATTCCTCAACCCTGCTGCAAATAATTGACACATAATCTGTTTCAGGAAAGCACAATTTTAAAATGTTGAGGTGTTTGAGGAAGGGGAAAAAAACTAGAAAAAAACACCTCTTGAAACACTTGCTTACCCTTGTTTATATAGATGCAACACCACCCATATATCCTTTCCAGCTTTTGTAATTTCTTGGACGTAATCCTGACCTGAGATCTCCAAAACTTGTCCAAATTTATTGTTTTCTTGAGAGGCTTTCCATTCTGCTAGCCTTTGCTGTCTGTACCACAGAGAGTTGGGAGAGAAACAAAAAGATAAAAATGAATTAAAAACCATTGACAGCACTGTGTGTCTAGAACCCTTAGTGCTCAGGATTTGTCCAGTCTTTACGACACCTTCTTGTTGTTAAGTCAACTTTGACTTGTGCTGACTCCATGAAAAAGATCTCAATGAAGCCAGCATATTGTTTCTTTGCTCACCTTCTTCTTCTTGTCACAACAGCCCTGGGAAATAGGTCATTCACTGTGTTTTGTGGCTTGAACCTAACTATCCCAAGTCCATCAATCTAACTATTGCATCATGCTGACTCTCTCCATACTATTCACATTGGATATCAGTTGTAGACTCATGACCACATCTCATTTTTCTATCAAAAGCAATTTTCATTCTTTAGAAAGGTGATGTATCTCTTCCAATGTTCTTGCTTTGCTTAGTTTGTATCCTTATAAGTTATTCTTCCCAACATTACATTTATTTCAATGTTCCATGCATATTAGTAATGTTCTATATATTAGTTAAATTCATGCATATAACATTAGGAAGGCTGAGCAAAGGAAGATAGATGCTTTTGAACTGTGGTGCTGGAAGAAAATTCTGAGAGTGCCTTGGACTGCAAGAGCAAACTAGTCCATACTCCAGGAAATAATGCCCATCTGCTCACTGGAGGGAAGGATATTGGAAGTAAAGATGAAGTACTTTGGCCACATAATGAGAAGACAGGAAAGCTTGGAGAAGATAATGATGGGGGAAAAGGAAGGAAAAAGGAAGAGGGGCCGACCCAGGACAAGATGGATGCATGTTATCCTTGAAATGACTGGATTGTCCTTGAAAGAGCTGGGGATGGCCATGGCTGACAGGGAGCTCAAGTGGGCTGGTCAATGAGATCACAAAGAGTTGGAAGCGATTGAATCAATAAACAACAACAACTTATGCTAACAATGGGATCGAATCTAGTGTTGATGGTAATGAGGTAGGCCATGGTTCACTTAGCTACCAGAAGACCATGTGTTGAAAACCTGAGGAGCCAAGAAGTGGATTTTGTTGATTCAGCTAATAGCACCCCACTCCCTCATCCAATAATCCCATCACTTGATCAATCAACTGATTGGTATTTCTGCCTATGGAATGTAAAATCTCTCACCTGTACATTTCTATAGCACGTTCATCTTCCTCATTGAATTCATCTTCATTTTCTTCAAGTTCCTCCAATGTCATGTCTTCATATGTTTTCACTAATAGTTAAGAAATTCAAGGTCATGATATGTTGTAAGGTACAGCATTTGGGGGGGGGGGGAAGAGTTGAAGCGTTCTCTTAAATCAGAGGAAATTTTGACAAAATTAGAATGAGAATAACTCAAACAATATTTTCATTCTGTAAATAATTTAATCTCCACACAAGACACCTTAACAATTTAGAAACAAGTTTATATTTTATTCTGTAAAAGTATCTGCCTTGTATACGTTTGTGTTTGCGGAGACAAACAATACAACGTGTGGAGATAACGTCTTTGTGGACGGCAGTGAGTGTGGCAAATTCACCTGCTGTAAAAGAAGTGGGAACTAGTTTTAAGCACCAATTCAAAGGCCAATCTGTATAGAATTCAAAAGCACACATTGTCTTATTAGCTCTGCTCCCACCACTTACTCATTTGTTACAAGGCTACAGCCTCACAGAGCCAATTCTTATTTTAGGTGGCAATCATCGGTTTCTTTTCTAAATGACGTAAAACATGAAAAGCAATTACAATCCACACTGAGAGATAGGCTCTTGTTCAATAAAGGTTTTTAACAACCACAATTACAACCCACACTGAGAGATAGGCTCGTGTTCAATAAAGGGTTTTTTTTTAACAACCACAAGAGTACCCCTTGGGTGTCAAGAGAGCTATCATATGTGTGTGTGTGTGTGTGTGTGTGTGTAACAATTTCTTTATTGAGGACACTTTCAAGCTTTCTCTCTCAATCTGCACAAGTAAACTAACAAAAGTACATAAGGTCAAGTAAAGGGAACTATTTCCATGCTATAAAGGTCCATAAAGTTCTTGTTGTTGTTCATTCGTTCAGTCGTCTCCGACTCTTCGTGACCTCATGGACCAGCCCACGCCAGAGCTCCCTGTCGGCCGTTACCACCCCCAGCTCCCTCAAGGTCAGTCCAGTCACTTCAAGGATGCCATCCATCCATCTTGCCCTTGGTCGGCCCCTCTTCCTTTTTCCTTCCATTTTCCCCAGCATCATTGTCTTCTCTAAGCTTTCCTGTCTTCTCATGATGTGACCAAAGTACTTCATCTTGGCCTCTACTATCCTTCCCTCCAATGAGCAGTTGGGCTTTATTTCTTGAAGTATGGACTGGTTGGATCTTCTGGCAGTCCAAGGCACTCTCAGAACTTTCCTCCAACACCACAGTTCAAAAGCATCTGATCTTCCTTCGCTCAGCCTTCCCTAAGGTCCAGCTCTCACATCCGTAGGTTACTACAGGGAATACCATGGCTTTGACTAGGCGTATCTTTGTTGCCAGTCTGATGTCTCTACTCTTTATTATTTTATCGAGATTGGACATTGCTCTCCTTCCAAGAAGTAAGCGTCTTCTGATTTCCTGGCTGCAGTCCGCGTCTGCAGTAATCTTTGCACATAGAAATACAAAATCTGTCACCGCCTCCACGTTTCTCCCTCTATTTACCAGTTATCAATCAGTCTTGTTGCCATAATCTTGGGTTTTTTTATGTTTAACAGCCCGGCTTTTGCGCTTTCTTCTTTCACCTTGATTAGAAGGCTCCTCAGCTCCTCCTCGCTTTCGGCCATCAGAGTGGTGTCATCTGCATATCTGAAGTTGTTAATGTTTCTTCCAGCAATTTTCACCCCAGCCTTGCATTCATCAAGCCCCGCACATCGCATGATGTGTTCTGCATACAAGTTAAAAAGGTTGGGTGAGAGTATGCAGCCTTTCTTGTACGCCTTTCCCAATCTTGAACCACTCTGTTGTTTCATGATCAGTTCTTACTGTTGCTACTTAGTCATTACACAGATTCCTCAGAAGACAGACAAGGTGATTTGGCATCCCCATGCTACCAAGAACTTGCCATAATTTATTATGATCCACACAGTCAAAGGCTTTAGAATAGTCAATGAAGCAGAAGTAGATGTTTTTCTGAAACTCCCTGCCTTTCTCCATTATCCAGCGGATATTGGCAATCTGGTCTCTCGTTCCTCTGCCTTTTCTAAACCCAGCTTGAACATCTGGCAACTCTCGCTCCATGTATTGCTGGAGTCTTCCTTGCAAGATCTTGAGCATTACCTTACTGGCATGAGAAATAAGGGCCACTGTACGGAAGTTTGAGCAGTCTTTCGCATTTCCCTTTTTTGGTATGGGGATATAAGTTGATTTTTTCCAGTCTGATGGCCATTCTTGTGTTTTCCATATTTTCTGCATATGGCATGCATCACCTTGACAGCATCATCTTTTAAGATTTTAAACAGTTCAGCTGGGATCCCGTCATCTCCTGCTGCCTTGTTGTTAGCAATGCTTCTTAAGGCCCATTCAACCTCACTCCTCAGGATGTCTGGTTCTAATTCATTCACCACACCATCAAAACTATCCTCAATATTATTATCCTTCCTATAAAGATCTTCTGTATAGTCTTGCCACCTTCTCTTGATCTCTTCAGGTTCTGTTAGGTCCCTGCCATCTTTGTTTCTTATCATGCCATTTTTTGCCTGAAATTTACCTCGAATGTTTCTAATTTTCTGGAAGAGGTCTCTGTCCTTCCTATTCTGTTGTCTTCTTCCACTTCCATGCAATGCTTGTTTAAAAATAGTTCCTTATCTCTTCTGGCTAACCTCTGGAATTGCGCATTTAACTGGGCATATCTCCCCTTATCCCTGTTTCCTTTTGCTTTCCTCCTTTCTTGGGCTACTTCCAGTGTCTCAGCAGACAACCATTTTGCCTTCTTGGTTTTCTTTTTCTTTGGAACATACTTTGTTGCCGCCTCCTGAACAATGTCTCGGACTTCTGTCCATAGTTCTTCTTGGACCCTGTTTACTAAATCTAGTCCTTCAAATCTGTTCTTCACTTCTACTGTATATTCGCTAGGAAAGTTGTGAGATCATATCTAACTGGTCTGTGTATTTTCCCTGATCTCTTTAGTTTTATTCTAAATTGGGCAATAAGAAGTTCGTGATCTGAGCTACAGTCAGCCCCAGGTCTTGTTTTCACCGACTGGATGGATGTCCGCCACCTTTGGCTGCAAAGGATGTAGTCAATCTGATTTCGATGTTGACCATCTGGTGAGGTCCATGTGTAAAGCCGTCTTTTAGGTTGTTGGAAGAGAGTATTCGTTATACACAGCGAGTTTTCCTGGCAAAATTCTATCAGCCTGCGTCCCGCTTCATTTTGTTCGCCCAGACCATGCTTGCCTGTGATCCCAGTTGTCATTTGACTTCCCACCTTGGCATTCCAGTCTCCTGTAATGAAAATAATGTCTCTTTTTGGTGTATTATCCAGCAGTTCCTGCAGATCCTCATAGAACTGATCTACTTCTGCTTCTTCAGCAGCTGTGGTTGGGGCGTATATTTGGATCACTGTAATGTTGAAAGGCTTTCCTTGCACTCGAATTGAGATCATTCTGTCATTTTTTGGGTTGTATCCAAGCACCGCTTTAGCGAATTTCTTATTAATTATGAATGCTACTCCATTTCTTCGATGTTCCTCTTGTCCGCAGTAGTAGATCTGGTGGTCATCTGATGTGAAGTGGCCCATTCCAGTCCATTTCAGTTCGCTGACCCCCAGAATGTCTATCTTTAGTCTTGACATCTCACCAATAACAACATCCAATTTGCCCTGGCTCATAGATCTTACATTCCAGGTTCCTATGGTGTGTTGATCTTTAGAGCATCGGATTCGTCGTTCACCTCCAGTACCGTCGGCCGCTAGCCTTCCTTTCGGCTTTGAGCTAGCTGCGTCATCCCATCTGGGGCTAGTTGAACTTATCCTCTGCTCCTCCCCAGTAGCATTTTGGCCATCTTCCGACCTGGGAGTCCCATCTTCCAATGGCATACCGACATATCTCTGGTTAAAAAAAAGTTCTAGCCTACTCCATTATCACATTGTGAAACGCAGTCATGTGTTTGCTTGTTTTTTAAACTATGGATCAAAATCTTACATTGTCAGATGCAGCTACAATGATGGGGAACCCGTTGTCTTGGCTATTTCTAACAATGCTTGCCCCATGAACTTGCCTCTGAAGTCATACAGAGCCCCAATAGCAGGGTTTCTAAGGCACTGCAACTTGGGGCAATGGAAATGATGACTGGTGTCCTCTCCCACTCACAGGTCACAATGAGACAAGCAGCTGGAGTGACCCCATTTGAGGTCCCGCTACAACTAATTCTGTAACCGGGAGAGGACTGTAGCTGTTATTTCCCAGTTTCGTGAACTGAAGGGTCTGAAGGCCCTTCCACATAATCATATAACCCAGAATATCAAGGTAGATAATCCACAATATCTGCTTTGAACTGGCTTATCAGAGTTCACACTGCCATAGAATCCAGTTCAAAGCAGAAAATGTGGGATTTTATAAAGCTGTGTGGAAGGGACCTTAGAAGGTCTTTAGATGGAGTACTGTGAGGCCTAAGAGGTATATTTTGGGGATCACACTTGCTTATTAACAACTGTAAACATGAATACACAAATTACAAGATCTGAACTCTGGAAAACAGGATGCCAACAATTGTCTTTTTAAACTTTTATCGCTGGAGCCAAGTTAAGAGCCAGCCCAAACATTTTTCTGCCACAAGTAAAGAGCAAAACGGCACCCTACCAAGAACACCACTGTCGGTCCACATACAGAAGCCAACTGGACTGGCAGCTGAACTATTTCCAGTGGTTGCTTTACTACGACACTTGGGTTGCTAATTTAAGACTGCCAGTATTATCCGCAGGAACTGCTGCAATTTATTAATTTTAAGAATTTTATTAGGTGTCATTTTATGCATATATGTTGTTATAGTCTATATGTTTATGTATTGTTCATTTTAACGCACTGGCAGTGCTTCTGTGAGTTGCCCCAAGACCCTTCAGGGAGATGGTGGAGAGGTATTAATAAAGATTATGATGTTTATTATTATTATTATTACTATTATTATTATTATTGTGGCAATGTGTCTTTGACTACACTTGAGGTAACTACCTAGTTTATGGGACTCAAGACAGGTTGTGTGGCCTATAATTTGCTGTGCTCCAACACGAGGCATTCAAGAGGAAGAGGAAGAAAACTGCCATTGTTGCCCTCCAGTACCTGCTGCTTGAGATAGTCACTTCACACTGCCTTGCCAGCTTAGATTTAGTGGGGCAGATACAATTTATTTTCTGTAGTGAGCACAGAAGATGCCCTCTGGAAAAACACACTGGAGCAAAAAGAAGTACCATACAACTCTCTTATCCACAGATTCAATATCCATAAAATGTATCTCCCCTCTGGATATGTTTGCGGGCCCCTCTAGATCCTCCAGTGCAATTCTATGGCATACTTCAAGCCCAAGTACACTTCAAATATATACAGGGTTCGCAAATCCATGGTTTCAGGTATGGATGGGGATTCTTGGAATGTATCCTTGACTGATGGATGTACAGTAGAGTCTCGCTTATCCAACTTTTGCTCATCCAGTGTTCTGTATTATCCAACGCAGTCTGCCACCCGCCCGGATCCACAGCTGTTTTAATACATTGCAATGTTTTGGTGCTATATTCATGAATACAGTAATTACTATATAATGTTACCATGTATTGAACTGCTTTTTCTGTCGATTTGTTGTAAAACATGATGTTTTGGTGCTTGATTTGTAAAATCATTAAGTAATTTGACATTTAATAGGCTTTTCCTTAATCCCTCCTTATTATCCAACATTTTTGCTTATCCAATGTTCTGCCAGTCCGTTTATGTTGAATAAGTGAGACTCTACTGTATGTGTTGTACTATATCACTATTTACAATAATGCTGATTGTAAGCGATGAAAGTCCAGTAAGGCTTAAGAAATTCCACCTCTATTTACACTAGGAATCACCTCTATTTACACTAGGGAATCATGCCATCACACCTAACCAGCATAGCCAATGTTGAGTCATGTTGGGTCCTTCAGTCCATCACTAACCTAAGGACCCCCTGGCCATGCTTCACCTCAACTCAGGATTTGAGTGAATTAAAAATTAAATTTAAATCCATACCCAAACCTACATCTGTGTGGTATATACTACAGATTAAATTAAATCCCACAACAACCAACTCATATAGCAGAAGAATAGTACTGGACCCTTGTTGGTGGACTGCAACTCTCATCAACCTTAGCTAACATAGATAATGGTGATGGATGACGGGAGTTGTAGCCCAGCTGCTTCTGAATAACTACATACTCTCCATTCCTCTTAATCAGTAAGGACTTTTCTTTATAAGTCCTTATTGTATGTTCTTTTCAAGGAATGCTCTGTATGCTTGCCAGTATTGATATTCTTCATAAATCACTGGGCAAACAGAGACAAAATACTATTACCGCTTCCAAAACATCTCATATAGGCAACCAACGCCATAAGGGCCACTGAAGTTAATGAGGGTTTTGTCTGCAGTGTTAAGATTTACAGACTTTGAAGTGGTAAGTGGTCACCTAAGTTGGGTTGCAGAAAGCATTCATATATCCCGTAAAACTAGGCTACTCACCAACAGATTGTTGCTGGAGGATCTGTTGCTCCCGTTCCTCTTCAGCCTGCTCTTGCTCTCTCAGCTTCTCTTTGGGAGGAAGGATGCCCTTTTTACGTAAGATGTCATTCCATTCTGTATCTGCATTAGGATCCTAGAACAGACATAATGATGAGAGGTAAACAACTGCTTCCTGAACTTCAAGTTGTCATTTGGACCTCTATGACCCACAGCATTTGGCATTGCGCTTGGTGTAACAAAACTGTGGTTGTTTAGTTCTTGACATGCTGGGTTGCAGAGATTGGGAAAGTCACTTTTGGACCTTTTCACACTACACAGTTATGGTTCTATATCAGGCATCCACAATTCCTAACAGCCTACTGGCTGTTAGGAATTGTGGGAGTTGAAATCCAAAACACCCAGAGGGCCCAAGTTGGCTCATGCCTGTTCTATATTCTACTTCCATAACAACATGCCATGGAAACATGGGATCTGTCATTTAGAGTTGTAAAGCACAAATCTCTTGTGCCACCAAATACAAATACAAACATCCCATAGGACGTAAATACAGCAAATGAAATCAAAGAGTTACACTATGCAACGTCAAGTGGCTCTTGAACTACAACTCTCAGAATTCCTCTATCAGAATGGCCACTGAAAGCTGTAGTCCAAAAAAAATATTTGCCCCTTTCAGATTCTAATAGTGCCTCACATAGAATCATAGAATCAAAGAGTTGGAAGAGACCTCATGGGCCATCCAGTCCAACCCCCTGCCAAG